ACCTTTTTTGTTGTTATATACCTGGATGACTGAGAAAACAAACTTTGAGCCTGCCTTTAGCTTTTTAGCTAGTGCACCTGCATTGTAAGCCGCTAGTTTAGCGTTACGTCAGTGCAGACTGGTGGGTGGGGGTGGGGTTAGGTAGACGGGGCGATCAGTTCTGTTGACAGGGCGGGGCGCCCCGCTTGTATAATGGTAGGGGAAACACTGGAGCGTTCACCAGACACATTAACTTGGTCAATAACAACATCAAGTTCACCAGAGAGGATGCAAACGACAACAAGCTGCCTTTTTTGGACTGTTTGATTCAGATGGAGGGCAACACGGTGGCGCAACTCGTAGAGCTGCTGCCTCTCAGCGAGCAGGTCCCTGGTTCAAATCCCGGTCCAGGGGCCTTTCTGGGTGGAGTTTTCATGTTCTCTCCGTGCATGCGTGGGTTTTCTCCGGGTACTCCGGTTTCCTCCCACAGACCAAAAACATGCATGTTAGGCTGATTGGTAACTCTAAATTGTCCCTAGGTGTGAGTGAGAGAGTGAATGATTGTTTGTCTCGTTTGTCTCTATGTGGGCCTGTGATGGACTTGCGACCCGTCCAGGGTGTACCCCGCCCCTCGCACAGTGATTGCTGGACATGGGCACCAGCGACCCCCATGACCCAAAATGGAATAAACGGGTAAAGATAATGGATGGATGGATGGATGGATGGATGATTCAGATGGAAAGAGAGGACAGCCTCAACATTGAAGTGTACAGAAAACCAACCCACACAGACCAGTATCTTCAGTTTGACTCCCACCATCCACTGGAACACAAACTCTCTGTCATCAGAACTTTACAGCATCGGGCCGAACACGTCCCAACAAAGACAGAAGGGAAGGAAAAGGAAAAGAAACACATCCAAGAAGCTCTCCAAACATGTGGATATCCTAACTGGGCTTTTGTCAAGTCAGTGAGGAAATCTACAAAACACACTAATAAACAGAAAAAGGACAACAACAGACATAAAAGCATTGTCATCCCTTATGTTGCTGGAGTATCAGAGAAATTCAGAAGGACTTTCAACAAACACAACATCCCAGTACATTTCAAACCCGGCAGGATTCTCCGACAGAGGCTGGTCCACCCTGAGGACAAAACACCCACACACAAACAGAGTGGTGTAGTGTATGCGGTCCAGTGCAGCGAGGACTGGCCAGACCTCTACATTGGAGAAACTAAACAGCCTCTTCACAGATGCATGGCTCAACACAGGAGAGCTATCTCCTCAGGACAAGACTCAGCTGTTCACCTCCACCTCATGGATAAGGGACACTCTTCTGAGGACCAAAATGTGCACATTTTGGGCCGAGAACACAAATGGTTTGAGAGGGGGGTGAAGGAAGCAATTTATGTAAAAAGAGAAAAAATGTCCCTTAACAGAGGAGGAGGCCTCAGATTTTCACTTTCAAAAACTTGCAATGCAACTTTGACTGACCCCCAGCCAGTATTCACACATGATGGTAACAGAGGGGCCTCATCTGTAAATTAAAGTAACAAAGACCTTAAGAAACCCCTACTGTTAAGGTGTTGAAGGTTGAATTGTCAATCTACATATGTATGTGTGTCTTATCTCACTCAGCCTTATAACCTGAACCCCTCACTCTCTGCTCTTTGAATTGAGAAAGCTCCTCGCATGAGGAGCGAAACATCTTGTGTTACAAATAAAGTCCAGTTGTTTTTGTATTGAATGTTTTTTTGAATTTATCATGTCCTGGATGACTGAGAATCTTCACCAGCATCCTTGTTAAGATCAGGCACAAAGGCTGCACGCCTGTAATATCCAGTACGCACCAGGTACATGGATCAATGCTGCGTAATTTCGCTTGAATAAAGAAAGAGGTTTAGGCGGATATCAGGGTGTTTTTGATGGTTCTCAGTAGGGCTGGGCCATATAATACCGGTAAAAAAAAGTTTGCCTGGGCAAAAAAATGATATCATGATATGCTAATTTCAGGACATAATACATCAGGGGCAAGGCGCCCTGCCCCTTTAACAGAACCGAGCGCACCGAATGACCACACCAAATTGCGCACCCCCCCCCCCCCACCACCTGTCAGTACTGGTGTGACGCTAATTAGTTGCGTGCAATACCAGCTAGCTAAAATGCTAAAAACAACGCGCGGCTCAGCTGTCTCTTAGTTCCACAGTCCATGGACCAAGAACAGAGTCAGGTGATGAAAGACAGAGCGTCAGAGAAATTAATAATTCCTGCAGGAACAGAGGAAGCTGAAACACCATAAGCTTCAGGATCAGTTGATCACCTTGTTAAAAGTTCTGGAAGTTATAGCTCATTTAAAGAGTCAGAGAGTAAGAGATTCTTTATTGTCATTCGCACCTCATGTGGTACATGTGGTGGAGCGAAATTATGTACACATGGTGCCAGTTACATCCAACAATAAAATGTATAAAAAAAACGTTGGTTACGTACTGTAACCGCAGTTACAGTGGGGGCGGCTGTGGCTGAGTGGTTAGAGCAGTCGTCCTCCAATGCAAGAGTTGGGGGTTCGAATCCACCAGCAGTCACATGTCCAAGTGTCCCTGGGCAAGACACTGAACCCCTCATAGCCTCTGATGTGTGTCCCATCAGTGTATGAATGTGATAAAGCTCAGATTAGTCTCTTTAGAATGATTTGTTCAATTAGCTTTGTAGAGATCTAGCAGAGTGCTGTATGAATGGGTAATTGAGGACACAGATTGTAGTGTAAAGCGCTTTGAGTATCTTGAAATAAGATAGAAAGGCGCTATATAAGTACAGTCCATTTACCATTTACCATTACACTGAAAAATTTAGTCCACGCCCATCTGCTGTGTGGGCCCCACCTGGTCCATATAAATTACATTAAGAGCGGGTAATCGGCTCCCAAATAGCTTTTTCTTCAGCCATTTAAGAGCCAGTGAGGCCCGACGCTTAAAGAGTTACGCCTATATTCATAGAATCTGGGGTTACAGTACGTAACCAACGTTCTATTTCATATAGGCTTCGCCCTTTAAGGCTGTCGCTGATGGGTTAAGGACGAAGCAGATGTTGTCCTCGCCTCACTGGCTCCATTCGAACACCGTATGAAGCAGAAGCTTGCCCAAAAAAGGTCTCGTCACTCAGCTCCCCATGTGCGTAATTACGCATTGCGTAATTATGTGTGCCATGCACAGACGCATGTTGTGTAACTATGCGTTCTGAATGCACGAACGCAGCGGAAATTTTTCAACGGGGAGGGAAAAATGCTGAAAAGAGCCATGAACCAACCGGTTTACGGCTGAACAGTATGAACAGATTAATAATAACAGGAGAGCTGATTATTAATCAAATGAAACGATTGTTAACAACAGGTCATGAACTGATTAGTAACAATAGAACCAAAATAACAACCACAACTTGTGACTGATAACATCTCACACTGTAATGCATGCAGACAGATGTGAGTAAAACGGAGTTCCATGAAACAACAATATTCATTCTGTAAACACTAAGGACAGAATGTGTCATAGAACGAACAGTCACATCACGTAGATAAAAGTGAAAGAATGAGCAGGGTGTTGACCACGCGGCCGCAGTGCAAATGTCCTGCATTGTCATACCATTACCATATCATACCGTACCATACCACTTTCTTTATAGAGCACTTAAAACAGCCACAAGGCCAACCAAAGTGCTGTACAGACAAAACAACAGGTAACACACAAAGCAAAATACAAAATGAGGTAAATCAGAATATAGACATAAAAACGATGTAGATAATGACGACAAACCAGTGTGGAGC